TCTGCAACTCTTGGGCTTCTTTTTGGGTGAAAGACCTCAACATGCAAAGCAGTGGGTTCAATTGCTAACCTGAAAAGGTATAATAAATACATCCCCAAGTGTCCAAAAAGTCTGGAAACAGAGGGGAAAATAGTGTGTCCTGTTTTCCGACTCTTGAGTATGCTGTAGAATAAGACTGAAACGAGTCACTGGAAAATAGGTTGTTGTCAATTTTATTTTGAGGCTTCTGTGCCTTTGAAAGAAGACATCACCGGTGACTGTCCTGGGGTGTCTGGGTGACCTGGCTACCGCCCACCTCTGCGGCTCACACAGCCTGTTGGTCTCCGCAGTGAGAGTTCACTTCACAGTTTGGGCCCGAGGGGCTGGTGGATCGTCTTTTCTCTTAGAAGAAGAATCTGATACCTTTAGGGAAAATGGACTTGTTGAGGGGGAAGAGTAGACAGACACTTTGCAGAGATATTTTCAAAGGGAATTAGAAAAAGGAAAATGTGGTTTTTCGTGAACCTTTGATGAAAGAGAATTGTCATGAACAGAATGTCTCATCACCAAATAACACCAAAGCCTCATTTGTGACCATGTTTGAATAGAATCGAAGCAGGGCTGAAGGCGAAGTCCCAGCTTTCGAAGGTATACCTCTACCCGTGACCTTGAAGCGCGTTGAAAAACCTCACTGCTCTGTTGCCTGGACGATGGGGCCTCTTGAGGGCTTGGAGGGAAGGATGTGACACAGGGCAGCCAGGTGGGGGAGGCTGGTGGCTGGAAGATGGCCCTGGCCTTGGTGAATTTACCGGGGAGCTGGGCCTGGCTGTAGCACCTCGGAAACCTCATTTTGTCAGGCTGCTGGCTCGTACTAACTAGTGAGAAGCTAAAGCACTAATCGAGCCAGTAGTTCATTGGTTGATTGAGAAGCAGAGCGCTGTCTGCTTGTGGGGACCCCACCCGAGAAGCCAAATGGTCAGAGGGCTGGGCGGGTCAGGAAGGGGAGGAGGAGTCATGGGAAGCAGATGTGTCGGGTGGCAGTGGCCCTGGTGGCTGGGTGCACCCTATGTGCCGTGCAGGCCCACTCGCCCCTGGGCCAGGCCTCTCCCGGCTGGGTGGTGCTTGCTCGGGTTTGCTGCTGAACCTCATGGCCTGGCAGCATCTGTTGACCCCCCACTTTGCTTAGAGATGGAGAGCTGCTCCATTGTGTGCAGAGAGCCTCTTTGAGATGATGGTGCCTGTCTCTGCCCAGAGCCACAGTCTTCCCTTGGGATTACCCTGCAGGGCATTTGCTTGCCACCTTCTCTGGTCCATGGACACATGAGCCTCTGCCCTCATGGTTGCTGGCAGTCCTGTGACCCGGCCTCAGAACCACTCTTCTAGCCCATGGTGGCTTAAGCCGGCGGCAGGGTCAGGATGGTGTGAATTATCCCCTTTTTGGGCCTCCTCAGGCCTTTTCACTTTAACAGCTCAACAGAGACATCTGTGATGGCTGGCGTCCAGAGTGTGTGGTATTTATTTTTGATTTGAAATATGAAAAGCATTTTTTTAAAGACAACTGACTCCTTTGAGTCATTCCCCGGGGAGCCAACGGCCCGAAATGTGAGCCGGAGCCTGCTGGGGGAGGATGACAGCGGAGGCTGCTGCCGAGTTAACTCGCGCCGGGTTAGGTCACTGCTGGGCTGAAGTGCGCTGACCATAAGAGCAACATGTGGGCAAGCGCCGTGGCAGCGGGGTAATTTATTGCAGCCGCTTGCTTAACCAGGAACCCCACACGCTGGGTTCCCACAGGATGGGCTAGCTGCATGGAAAGCCACACGTGGGCCCGTGTTGAGCAACCTCGCTTGAGTAAGAGTTATCTTATTTGGCAGGGTGGGTCACACGTGGGGGCTTTGTCACAGAGAAACCAGAAACTGCACATTTGACAGTCTCCGAGTCCCTAGATAGTTGCTTGGTTTCTTCTCCTCTTTTGCTAGGTCCACTCTGACTAGCAATCTGGCGTAAGAATGTGCATAACTCACATTTGTTCAGCCCTTGACAGTTCACCTCCGTAGCCTTCTTTGAGGCTCAGCACCCTCTTGCAAGGTAAAGTCAAGCTAGGTGTTAAGGTACTCTGTTCTCAGGTGAGGAGATCGAGGCATGCGGTAGGATTCTTGCTAACGATGGCTTCCCGAGTCGAGGGGCAAAGCCAGGGCACTGTGCCCACACCCAGACGTCCAGGGGACCGGGACCTTGTGCCTCCACCCTCCTAGCCTGCTACTGCAGATGCCGGTTTCTTGGCCTCTCCTTAGACTCCGGATGCAGGGTGTGGTCTGGGAATGTGCGTGCTACATGTCTTGCCGTGATTCGTATGGACCTTCAGGTTAAAGTGGTGCAGGGGCTGATCCTGTTGAAAGCTCCCCTCTCAGACATGAAACCTGTATCAATTATCTTCATTTTGTCTTCTGTGTTGAGGCCCGTCTCCTCCCACGAGACGTCAGCTCCTTGAAGACAGAGCCCTTTCCTGTCTTGTCCACGGCGGTACCCAGTGCGTGGGCAGTGCCCGGCACACAGTAGGCCCTCGAGTATTTGTCGGATGAGCGAGTGTCCCCCTCGGCCCCGTGGCTAGTGTGGGAGCGCTCCGGCGATCGTCCGGCAGGTCTGGGGCGAGCGTCCTTGTCAGTGGCGTGGCCTTACCGGGTCGTGGGATGGAGGGCTCTGTGCCTCCGCCCCTGCAGCTCCCCGGGGAGGAGAGGACGGACGCCGCCCACACCCGCGGGCTCCGGGATATTCCGGCCCAAGGTGGGCGCTCATTAGCGGCCGCCCGTCCTGCTGCCGTCCGGCGTCTCGGCGTGAGCAGCGGGGTCGCCGTGGCAGTCAGTTTTTCCACTGCCATCAAACGGGATCCATTTAGCTCTCAGACAGACAGGTATAGGCTGCACTCTGTGTCACGGGCCAAACACCGGCCACCTCAGGCCTCAGATCAAGACCAGACACCGGCACAAACCCAGGTGGCCCAAGCGGGGACGCTCACCAGAGCCAGGCTCATGAATGGATGAGTAAATATTTACCCTGTCTGAGGGCAAATGTGAACTGTCTACCAGGTGTTTTGTTTTTCTGTCTCCTCCCTCTCTGCCTGCTGGCCCTCCTTCTTTAAAAAAGGAAACCGAGGGGCTGACAGGTTAAGTGACCGGCTAGTCATTGGAATGTCCTCTGGTCCTGTCTAAGATCTATTTCTCCTCAGGCACCTCCTCCTTGAAGCCTTCCCAGATGACTGGCCCACCCTGCCCTGGCCCTCTGAACTCCAGCCCGCAGAGAGCCTTCTACCCGTGAACCCGTACGGGGTAGACAGAGGGGAGGAGGGTTTGGTTGTCCTCTGTCTTCTTCTACCCTGTGCAGATAACACCCATGTGGCAATTAGTCACATGCCACTCTTGCATCGGCCTTTCCCGTTTCATGGCCTCTGTGCCCTGGCTTGGGATTTCCTGCAGGTGAAGGGCCGTGTCTTCCGCACCTGTAAACAGTTCCTTTGCGGTCGTTGGTTTGTGCGTCCATCTACTCACACCCGCCCCGCCCCCTCGGGTACACATACACTTACGGTCGGCCTGTTCTGTGTCAAGCTCAGGGCCTTCCCCACACCACATGGCACTTAGAAGTTCGTGCCCAAAGCTAGAGTGGATGGCCGGAGCCCAGAGGACAGCTTGGGCTGGAAGTGGCAGGGAGGCTGTTTTTAATGGTGGCAGGAGGAGCTGAGCTTCTGAAACCTGGGCATACTCAGCCTTGCTTATGAGTTCCTTTGAAAAAACGTCTTAGCCCCTTTGCTAGGTGCAGGTTCGCTGTTTCCTGGTTCTAGCCTGCACCCTGACCGGCAAGTTCACAGGCAGACTCCACCTTCCCTATCACTCGCCCCTTTCACAACGTGACTAACTCTGAGCTAACTGAGCCCTGGCCAGACGTGGATATGGTTGGTTATGCTCGGACTCCGTTTTGTGGTTTGTCCTTGCTGACTTGCTGGGAAATCCTTTGGTGATGTTGCTGGGGGTGGAATGGGAAGTAGAGCATCTCTGGGGCTGGAGTTTTTCTTGGACGTGTAAGATGTAGTAGAGGCCTCGCACTGCAAATGAGGAGCGCAGGTTTCACGCTGTGCCTCGTGGACGGTGGAGAAGAGGCTGGGCTCGGAGTCAGAGCGGCCTGGGTGTGGATCCAAGCTTCTGCTCCTGACCAGTCGGCAGCTTTGGCCAAGCCACTGAACCTTTCTGAGCCTCGGTTTCCTTATCTACAAAACACAGGAATGAAATATACCTCATAGGGTTCTCGTAAGGATTAAAAGAGCTGGTGTATGTAATACTCGTGGACGTGATTCCTGGTGTACAGTGACTGCTTTTCATTTCTGAAATCTTAAGGTTGTATTTCTAAGTTTCCTAAGAGTATTTTGCCATGCACCTTTAGCACTGTGCGTTGGAAAAGTGCTGTGGGAAAAGTAAAAAGGAGCTAACAGGGGTCTTCTGTCAAGAACTCGTTGCTACTCAGGAAGGAAATAAACGTCCGAGCAATAACTCACACTTGTTTAGTGTTCCAGAACAGTGTTGTCGGATACAAATACAACATGAGCTACAACGTACAGTAGCGTGTGTTTGCTTTCCAAGATTTCATTTACCTGCAGTCAGCTGCAGTCTGAAAATAGATGAATACAGTAAGGGATTTTGAGATAGAGACCACATTCACATAACTTTTATTATGTGTGTTCTGTTATAATTGTTCTTTCTCATTATTAGTTATTGTTGTTAATCTCTCACCATGCCTAATTTATAAATTAAACTTTATCATAGGTATGTATGTATAGGAGAAAACATACTATTGTAGAGAGTTTGGTACTATCTGCGGTTTCAGGCATCCTCTGGGGGTCTTGGTGCATATCCCCTCCAGGATAATTACAGTTACTACTGGAATTCAAACTCTTCTTCTGGCCATGTAAAAATGTAAAAGGGAAAAAGTGAGATAATTTTAAATAATATATTTTATTTAACCCAATATATCTAAAACATTATCATTTGGCATATACTCAACATAAAAATTATTAGTGAGCTATATTTACATTCATTTTTAAAAATCATACTAAGTCTAAAATGGATGTTTTTTTATGCTCACGACACATCTCAGTTTGCACTGGCCACATTTCCAGTACTGCCACCACATTGGGCAGTGCAGCTATAGGATTTCTTTGTTAGGACAGCTGATGTCACCTGCATTTTGTGGGGGAATAACTGAGCTCACAGAGGGTGCGACTTGCTTGAGCTGCACAGCCAGCAAGGAGCGGGTGGGGCGAGAGCTCGGTCTTCTCTCCACTGAGGTGGCAGGAAACTTGCATTTGCCTGGTGTCCACTGTGTCCCAGGCACTGGTAGACATTCTGCCTTTGTCTTTCCATCTGATTCTCACAGCAGCCTTGCGTGGTGGCTAGGTATCGTGCACATTTTACAGATGATCAACAGAGGCTCAGAGAGGCCCGGCCATTTACCCAAGGCCACACAGTCCAAGGGAGAGTTGGAATTTGGACCAGCACTTGCTGATTCCAGAGCCACCTGTTCTCTTTCCTCTGGACAGAGAAAGAGACTTTGCACACAGCAACTTAGGCTAAGTATTCAAGGAAAGTGCCAGAGTGGCACCATGGGCTGGGTGGCCTGTTCAGCAGTGGCTTTGGGGACATGTGTTCAGAGGGCCTGGGCCTGCTTTGGGGAGGTGGTGTGGGTCTAAAAGCAGCATCCCATCTAACCACAGGTTCTGCCCAAGAGGCAGACACTGAAGCCTTTGGGGGGCAGGGTTGGTGATAGCTGGGGCGGGTATGAGGTGGGGGTAAAGAGCGGTTATGGGCAGCAATGGCCCAGAGAGCTGGGCTGTGCTCCCCCCCGTCACCTGGGAGTGCTGAGCACTTTGTGAGTCTCCAAGCAGCTGAGACTTTCTCCTTGGGGAACCTCCAGGAATTTGGGGAGGCTGGGATTGAGTAAGCTTTTGAATGCATGAACGAATCCACACGGTCACTTGCTCACTCAACAATTATTTATTGAGTACACACTATGGGCAAGAATGATGGGGCTGTTGTTCTGTGTGATACCGCCTTTACCTCTGAGTCCACGTGTGTTTAGATCTCCTCTGAAGTTCTCAGCAGATTCCCATTTTACGGTACAGGAAACTGAGGCTCAGAGAGTGGGGGTCCCTTGCAGGAAATCAAATGACTGCTGAATGGAAGATACAGACACGGACTTCAGAACTGACAGTTTTGACTCATTTACCCATTTCTCTGTCCGTCTAGCCACTAGCCAGGCGGCCGTCATCAAGCTCTGCTTGCCAAATATTGAGCTACATTCTCAGTAGTTGTTGTTTTTTTTTTTTTTCACGCATTTTCAATTTGTTTGTTTTATTTTTGAGAGCAATCACCGTGCTCCTGAATGTTGAGTAGCGGCCAAGATCCCTTGCATGCCAGGCCCTGCGCAGGGCGCTGGTCACAGCCCACGTCAGGGATTCCTCCCGGTCCTGTTGTATGAGGAGGAAACTGGCGCTCAGAGTCGTGTGTCTGAAGGTCACGCATTCTGGGTGGAGTCAGGGATTTCCATCCCAGCCTGTCTCTCCAGAGCCCCGACTTGGCCACTAGACCTCACTCCCTCTCTGTGAGCAGGGTCGAATACTGATCCCGAAATGAAACCCAGCTTGCCAGAACCTTCTTGTGAGGCCTTGTCTGGTCTTCAGTTTTACCAAGTGCAAAATGGAGGTGGGGATGGCCGTTGCTCTCTCTCCTTCAAAAATCAGCCTGCCCGGGAGGTGATGCTTTTCAGGTCCCTGCCTGGCTAAGAACGCTGCGTTAACAGGAGAGAGAGTGTGTGAGCTCCGTTAGGGCATCTCTCTGTTACTCCAGTTGGCTCCTCCCTCATTGTGCAGGGCGAGCTCAGGTGTGGTCCTGCCTGGGTTGGGAGGGCATTTGAGCAGCCACCAACCGTGGAACCGACAGCCTAAGCACACCTGCAGAGGAAGGACCCTGTCCAAACGGATAGCTGAGACGTCCTGCATTTTAGAGATGTGGGACGTCATGATATGAAGGTATCCTGGAGACTCACTAGCAAGCTTTTCACTTTATAGTGAGGGAAACAGTCCTAGGAGATCAGCCATAGTGACTCTGTGTTGTAGAGACTTGAGGGTGCATCCTATCTCCCTGTCTGAATAGCAGGTTCCCATGCTGGGAACCTCACCCTGACCCTCACGGTACTTTACAGGAAGTGAGTGGGGTTTGGAGAAGGACAACCTCATTGTTTTGCCCATTTCTGAGACAGAAAATCTAGGAACAGTCGGGTGGCCTGGTGTTAGGCCCCCTAGAAATCTGCACGCCCTTCCCATAGGCAAGATGAAAGCTAGCCCAGGATGCACAGCCTGTGCTCATTGCAGGGGTGGGGGTGGACAGAGAGCGTGGGGAGACAAGGTTCCCAAGCCTGGCCTTCTGGTCCCAGAGGCAGGCGCTCCAAGGCTCTGGAATGGGAGCAGTTGTCAGGGCAAAAGCATGCGGCAAAAGGGCAAGGTCAGGTCCCTGGACCTGCATTTACTGCCTGCGTGACTTGGGCATAACACCAACTCTGAGCCCCCATTTTCCTTTCCAGGAAGGTGAACTCAGGAATAGGTCTGGCTATCGGCTGAGCAGAACCGTTGCATGAATCAAGTGGGGTGCCACGATCAACTGTGCTGAATACCCGGGCAAGTGTGACTTAAATGTAGGACAGTCTTTTTATCATCAGCAAGCCGACGGTACCTCCCCACTCATCACTCCAAGGCAGCCTGTTGCATTTTCTTTCATTCTGATAAACTCCTTGAGTGGAGCAGACGCCAGACTGCCTGTTGTAACTTATGCTGTACTTGTTAGACCAGCCCACTACTGTGCCTGACTTCACTTTGGGACATTCTTCCCTGTCCACTCAGATTTCTCTCCTCCCTGCAAAGCGTCATCACCTTCCTCCTCTGACCTGCCTTGCCCTCCTGGTCACACCCCTTTAAACACTTGTCCAACTTGGTCCCCCCGGGCAGGTTGCAGTAGCCCAGCCAAAGCTGCAGAGACCACGGCCCCCGGTATGGGGTCTGTGCCCCTTCTCCAGGCAGGTCGCTGTGATAGTCTGACTTTATGGAAGGGTGAACTCAATGACATTTGCTGAACTGCCGCTCAGAATGGGAAAAGCCCTCCCAGACCTCTTATCCTCTTCTTGCCAGAGGAAAACCATGCCCCATTTGGCCTATTTGAGCACTTTTGGGCTTACAGCCATAATCTTCCACACTGACAAAGTTTGACCCAGATGCCAATGTTATCCTGTCGTCGTTTCCTTTTTTTTCTAGAAAAACTTAATTGGAATTTTTTTTTTTTTTTTTTGAGACAGAGTCTCATTCTGTTGCCGGGGCTAGAGTGAGTGCCGTGGCGTCAGCCTAGCTCACAGCAACCTCAGACTCCTGGAGTCAAGCAATCCTCCTGCCTCAGCCTCCCGAGTAGCTGGGACTACAGGCATAATTTTTTTCTATATATATATGTTAGTTGGCCAATTAATTTCTTTCTATTTATAGTAGAGATGGGGGTCTCGACGCTCTTGCTCAGGCTGGTTTCGAACTCCTGACCTTGAGTAATCCACCCACCTCAGCCTCCCAGAGAGCTAGGATTACAGGCGTGAGCCACCGCGCCCGGCTTTAATTGGAATTTTTAATGCATTTAGGGGGAATAGATTGTGTTTTCATTTGCCTCTAAAAACAATGAGAAAGAAAACAAAGTATGATCTATTGCCAGAAATGATGGGGCCAAATCTGAAATTAATTTACAAAGTCATTAGTGTTTTCCATTTGTGAACCCAAAAGTGAATGTAAGTGCAATTCCTTGTAATTAACTACAAATTAGAAAAGGGTTGGGAGGACTTTTTAGGGACCAACATACAAAACTCTAGCAGAAGCAGATCTGGGGGGGGAGGACCCAAGAGTTTCTTTGGTTTTCACTCAAGTGTGTGATTTGGGAGAGTATGATGGGCTCAAATATTCCCCAGAGAGAGAGAGAGAGAGAGCACTTTTTCAACATTTTGAAAACTGGCAGGGACCTTCAGAATGATCTGTTCTAACCTTCTCATTTTCTGAATGAGGCAACTGAGAGATTCCGGGAGGGCGAGCAACTTGCCCACAGTCACATGGCCATAAGGTCAGAACGAGGACCCGAGCCCACACTGCCAACTCCACGGCCGGTGTTCCCGCCGCCCCTGCCCCCTGCCCCTGCCCCCTGCCCCTGCCCCTGCCCCCTGGGTGCTTACAGTTTGTGCCTTTCATGTTCAGTGCTTGAGAGAGCACAGGAGAGTCCAGATGCTCCCGTCTAAAGCAGTCCTCCTCGTCAGAGTGTGGGAATGGAACGATCGGTCAGATCCACCCTCGTGTTCATTCCAGGTTTCAGACGTGCTGCTGTGTACCAGGTGTCACCCTGGCTATGGGGAGACAGTGGTGGTTTCCCCCTTTCTTCCTTCCTTTAAGTAGTCTGGTTATTTCTAAGGCTTCTCCCTCTACCGCCCCACCCCTACCTCCTGCTCCTGCCCAAGCCAGGCCCCACCACTGCACGTTGAGAGTCTGCTGTTCCCGGATGGAGCGGGCCCGGGGTTGGCAGTATCTAGGTGTTGGCAGCAGCAGCTCTTCTGCAAGTCCCTAAGCTCAGATGAACTGGGGCTTTAAGATGTCATCGAGCCATCAGAGGGATGCAGGAAAGGCCTTTTGAAATGCTGTTTCCCCTGACCCATTCGAGGTAAGGCCCTGTGATGTCATTTCCCCTGGTGGGGTGTGCGTGCAAATGAGAGAGAGGGACGGAGAGACAGTGTGAGCGAGCCCACGGCACTAAGACAGGCCACTGCTGAGAGTTCACCGTCATTGCTTTAATGTTTTTCTTACTAACAGGGCTTCTTACAGGGCTTCCAGGGACCCTCCCTCTAGTTTCTCCAGCTCTCTTCCCTCGGTGGACTCCTGACGCCATTCCAGCCCCTTGGGCGGTGTGAAATTACTAAAGGCCACATATGGGGGGAAACTGTTTACGTGGAGTTGTCAAGGCCCATTATGCTGATGAGAACATACTCGCATGTGGCCGTGCTGGGCCCTGCTCTGAGAGCTGTCGCACCCCTCACCTCACCTCAGGCTCTTAGCAGCCAGGGGCGGCAGAGCAGCAAGAGGTTTCTCTGCAGACGAGGGAGCTGAGGTTGAAAGAAGTGACATTGGATGAGCTGGCGAGGGCTGGGGTGGGATCTGAAGCCGGCTGCCCTCCAGAGGCCGCCGTCCTGCTGGGGAGATGTGCGTCCAGGTGGGCCTGCGCCGGGAGAGTGGAGGCAGGAACGGTCCCTGGGGGCTCAGTTCTGGAGGCTGGGCAGGTGCTGGGGATGGAGCTGGCCTGGTTTTAAAGTGGCAGGAGAGGAGGTGGCAGGGAAGGGCTGTGTTTGGGAAGGATCCTCGACTGTGCCAGGGGTCAGCAGTCTGGTTTCTGGCACTGAGGGGGCAAAAGGTGGGCTTGTAGAGGAGGGAGGGTGGCCCCCACTGAGGGTGAGAGAGATTGGCCCCAGCGAGGCCAACACTGTTGGCCCCAGCACAGAGTCTCTGTGGCTGATCTCCTAGGACTCAGTTTCCCTGTCTATAAAGTGAAAAGCTTGCTAGTTAGTCTCTAAGATACCTTCAGATCATGACATCCCACATCTCTAAAATGTAGGACGTCTCAGCTGTCAGTTTGGACAGGGTCCTCTGCAGGTCTGCTTAGGCTGTCGGTTCCCACCTTGGGCCCCCAGCATGTGCCAGAAGTCCAGGGGCAGCCCCAGGACCCAGCCGTCCCCTTTCCCATCTTCCCTTGCCGGTGGATTTGCCCCTTGGACGTTCGGTTTCCTCATCTGGGGCAGGACGGGATTGTAACACCCTTTCTCATTATTAAACTGGATGATCTGATGCTGGAAACTTCTTGCAAAGTGCCTGGTACCAAGTAGGGCCTCTTTATATGATAGTTTTTATTTTCCCTTCCACTTATTTCTTTTTAAAAAGTAACTTTCCCCCCCTATAATAACAAAAATTTTAGAAGACAGAGACAAGTTAATACATTGCTGTATGTACATACTCTCAGGCCAAGAATGTCCTAAGTGTTTACATACCAAAGCAGGACTTTGAACTTTGATTTTTCTCAGCTGCCTCTGTGCTGGTTCTAACGCACTAAGACGCCAGAAACGGTACCCTGCCTTGGCCTTTTGTTTTTGTTTTTGTTTTTTGTGTGTGGGGGGGTGCTGGTATATGTGTTTTCATTGTAGCATAAAAATTTGAAACATTTGAGTTATAGGCAAATGATAACTTACCCATGTACTTTCTACTGAATTTAACAAATCTTAATATTTTCCACATTTGCTTCAATATTTGTAACATCTATTTCTTTACTAAAAATAAGAAGATTCTACTAAGGGCCTCCTCCTACCCGCTTTTCCTTCCAGCCTGGTCCTTCCCTTCTCACAGGTGTTTACTCTCTTGAAATTGGTGTGTGTCCTTCCCAGCCAGGATTGTGTAGCGTGTGGCTTGTAAAGCCGAACAGCCCCCTTGGAATGTGTTTGAACCACCAAAGCAAATAAATGATCAGCCTTCTGGAAAAGAAGCCTGAATGTCCAAAGGCCAGGGGAGTGACTTCAGAGAGCAGAACAAACCCACCTGCTCCCAAATTGAAGTCTCAAATTTACCAATTCATTGCCTTTGACTTAAAACTTGAAGCCCTCCCAGCCTACCCCTGCTTGATTGTAGCTGAATTCGAGATTGTGCCATCTTGAGCTCCCATGGATTTTTCATGGGAATAAATACGTCTATTTATTCTTAGAGCAGGTGTTTTGGCTTTTTTCTTTAATGTCTCCCCTCCCCCCCTTAATCATAACTATAATATATGATTATTGTGGAAAATTTAGAGCATATGGAGAAGTAAAGATTAAAATTGCTCACTGCCTTCCTACCCCCAACTCCACCACCACAGAGATAGTTCTGCCCCATCCCCCAGTGCTAGAGGGCAGAGGTCACTGGGCTCCTCCAGGTGGGGATCAGCACCTGGTCTCTTTGGTTTCCTAGCAGACAGGCCCCATTTGCAATAGGACGTGTGTCCCCAACGTGCTTAGAGGCAGTCACCTGCCTGAGGTCAAGCCAGTGGATGGGGCTGGAGCCTGAAGGCATCTCCTGGTGGTCTTCCCACCCCAGTCATCAGGCCACGGCCTGACCTCTCCTTGGTACCTGGCCCCAATCTAGGCTGAGTGACAAATGCCCAACAGAGGAGTCTGGCTTCCGCAGGGGAGCTGGGAGGTGGAGGGCACCCCAGGCTGCTTTTGCCTAGGCTTGACCACTTTTCTGAAAAAGTATAGGGCATGTTTTGTTTTATCATTTTGACCCAGTAGACGTTCTTAGTCAGTTCACAAATATAAACACTTCAGCCAGATTGTATCAGTATTGCGAGTCGGTTTAATACCTCAGCTATTTTCTCTGTACCCCAGTGCAATTGTTTCTGAGTTCTTCCTTTTTTGTTTTTTGAAACTGAAATGATTTTCATTAGGATCACTACTTTTCCATATGCATTTTACCACAAAATTTGGTTCTGATTTTGTTTGCTTGCTTAGTGTTGACATTGATTCTCTCTTCTACTGCCTTGGAATTTTCTTTCGTGCCATTACTTCTACCACATCTAATTTTCCTGGGTCAAATTTTGCATATCTGAGTTATTGGGTTCTTTTGTTAGTTTTTAGTCCATGACTTTCATTGTCTGCTGGTTTAGCTACTTTCAGTTTTATTTTGTGTTGAGTTTTTTTCTGTGAGGCTTATTTTTTTTTCCCGGGTCAATTTTGCAGTTTTTAAATATTGCCAAGAAGTGTGCTGCTTTGGTTTGCTTTTTATTTTCAATAAATGTTTAAGGTGGGTAATTCTAATTAGCCATTACCAGTTTTGTGTGGGATGGATTATTTCTCTGAAGTCTAACTGTCCCTGGTAATCTGGTCAGAACGCCTGTGGGGTCAGAATGGCAGGTCAAAATGTCTTGCTTCTTTCTTGAAGAGTTTGGAACAAGCTCGCAAACTATTGTTCTGCCTTTGGGTTTCTCTATTTTGGATGCTGCCAGGGCTTTCCTCTTAGGGACAAAGAAAATGGGAGCTATTGGGAGTCAGACTTCTCCCAGGAAGGGTTGCACCATCTTTATCACAGGAATTCTGCCCTTCCGTCCTCTGACCTCCCAAGGTCACAGCCACACGCTGCCTGCACCCCGGGCCGACCTCAGCATGGGCAGCTTGGGCTGCTCCACGAGAAAGGACAGAGGATGGGGGGTTAGGAGCCCTACACTGGAGACATCCACAGGCCTGCTGGCCAGAGGACTATTAAAGTTCTTCCTGCTTTTTCCTTCTCTGGGTGGAGGTGCGGATTCTTGGGATGTCAGGAAGCCCCTGTTCCTGGAGGAAACCTATGTGGGTGGAGCAGAGGCACCATGCATGGCCCGCAGTTCCTGGGACCCTGCTCCCCATGCTCGACCACCCGCGTGAGTGTGCTTGCCACTGCAGCAGGTCACCTGTGAGGGCCCCCAAGTGTGCGGAGAGCCTACTGAGGGGTGGGGGGAGCTGTTTGCTCCTTTGCAAACATTGCTGGGACTATTAAACCCAGGGAACTGCATTCGTCTGTGTAAGTAAACATCCATCTCCCTTTAAAGCAAGAGCCCCTGCCCGGCCTCCCCGGGGCTGCTGGAATGCGGCCCCTTGGGTCTGGGCCTTTGTGTTCCTCTTTCTTCCTCTGGTTTCTTACTGTCTCCTTCAGTTAGGCCTGTGACTGTTCTCAGATGGCTGTTTGTGTACACAAGTCATGTCAGGCACCATCGTTTGTGTTTGTCTAGATCAATAAAAGCAGCCCTTGCCTAAGTCCAGCTGAGAATTTATAAATACCCTTCAACTCCTCCCCTCCCTGGAAGACGTGAAAACTCCATCCCATTAACCCTCCGAATCCAAAGCTGTTGGTCGACCTGACCAGGGAAGATGTAAAATGGAATTCCTCGCAGTGTTCTCTTCGGAATGTGATCCGCGTTTAAGCAGCTGTGGCGGAGTCCCAGCCCACTGCGGAGCGAGAGCCCTTCCCTGTGCCTATTCTGGGAATTACCTGGGAGAGACTGCAGCGTCAGAAACGCGTTTAGACACAGATTGCGCCTTCTGTGCCCAGAAAAACGGGCCTGGGTGTAGCTGAGGCAGCTACCACAGGAAACTTCCAGACAGACCCTGGCTGCGGCGGTTCTTTCACTTTGGAAAAGACGGTGGTTAGGGATTTAAATTCACGTGGACCTTAAGGACTTTAAGAACCAGATTTCTTCTTTCTGCTCCCATTAGGGAAAAGAGTAAACCTCGCGTGCCCTGTGATAGCCAGCCACGTCGGGTTTTCTTATAAAATGTCAAGACGGCAATACTCGGTTTCCTGGCCCGCGCCCCCCAGTGGGTCAGCGCCTGCCAGAAGTTTCTTAGGGGGAGGGGGAACATTTTGCACCCCTCCTCCCTTGATGAAATCATTTCTTCCCCGGCCTTTAACCCTTTATAGATTGGGAAGAGAATACTTTGAGTTTAGGGTTAAACAGAACTTCCCTGTCGGCCTAGGCCGGGATCAGGGCGTACCCAGGGCTGCCGCAGCCGGGTCCCGGGTGGCTGGGCGCCGGCGTCCTCCTCCCTTCCTGCGCCCCGTGCCTTCTCCACGCAGCCCCGCTGCGGCCAGGCCCTACTCCAGCTGGGGTAAAGGGCC